ACCCGTGAATTTTGCTGGGGAAAAAGAAAAAAACAAACAAAAGAGCTAACCAGGCTCCAGGTGAAGCGATGCCGGCCCCGAGGGGGTGGCTCAGCCCCCCGAACGTGACCGGCAGAGGGAGCAGGGGGAGCGCAGGGCGCCCCGCAGCCCCGGGACAGGCAGGGGACACTGCGGGGACAGGCAGGGGACACTGCGGGGACAGGCAGGGACACAGCAGAGCCCGCTGCCTTCTGCACAGCCCCGGGCTTTCCTCCCGCACGCCGGCGCGGGGCTCTCCTCGCGCGCAGAGGAGAAGGGAAGAGTTTTGCTTCTGCCCGATAAATGTTTGGGAGCTCCCGATCAGCGCGTGGATCAAAAGCTTTCCCTTCCTCGCAGCTGCATAGTAACAGGGGATGTGAAGGGCCAGGTTACGTTCTACACTGGGCAGCTGCAGATCCTCGCCTGCTGCAGCCACGACAAAGTGGGTCCCATTCGGTCCATCTCCTTCTGCAAACCCCCTCCTGATCCTCCTGGTGACTTCCCACCCTCCACCATCCCCAGAAGCCAGCCCTTCATCACCAGGTGAGTGCCCCTTTATAAACTCAGGTCTTCTCCTGCGTTTGCCTTGTAGATTGAAAGCTGGGGAGATGGTCAGCTGAAAGCTGCCCTGTGGTCTCCTGCCTTGGCTGGAGCAGGTTTCAACCCTGTGCCCAGACTTCCTGGTGGGACAGGGAGAGGATGTGTCCCTCTATACCCCTTATCTGCAGATTTTCACTTTAGCTATTTGTCCCACTTGCCCACCAGAGGACAAGCAGCTGAAGAGCCCAGGTAGGGGCATGCAAGAGGTGCAGCATCCCCCAGTGCCTGGACCAGGCCTGCAGTGATCTCTGGCCATGAGGGGCCAGCCAGCAGAGAGCCTGAGGTTCCTCTGGTGAGCTGCAGCACCACACCTTTCTGTGCAGCTGCTGGATCTCTGTGGTCCTCTCCTGTCCCTTTAACTGGGCCCAGGCTCTTGGTCCTCAGGCAGGCAGACAACTGCACACGTTGGTTCTATGATATGCACAGCTATTCAGATGCCTGGTTCACACATCACTGGTGGTGCCACAGGACCCTCTTCACTGTGGTTGGACAGGCGGCTGCTCTTTCTGCGCCGTGGGACTGAAACCTCCTCTGACCCTGTCTGGGGCAGCTCGGGCAGCATGGAGCCATTGTCAGTGGTGGCATGAGATGTGAAAAGACTATTCAGAGTATCTTTAATTGCTCATTTGTTTGTCTCACACACCAGTGACTTGAAAACAGAAAAAGCCACCCAGATGTCATTCATCTTCTGGTTTGCCTGCCCAAGTAGAAAATGGAACCAGCTCCAGTCTCTTCCTGTGGAGATTTACCAGGTCATGAATACAAAGTGCCACGTGCCTTCCAGGCCAAGAAGCGTTTGCATATTGCACGGCACAAAATATAAGTGATTGTCCAACTGAGTTGCCAGAAAGAGTCTGATGTGTAATATTGCTTGGAGGGATATGAGCCAGCTGGTCTGACTCATCAACTTCTGTTTCTCTCCCTCTAAACAGGAACTTTATCCTTTCAACCTCTGATGCAACTGTGTTCCGTGTTGCAACAGCTGGGACAAACTTTGAAAAAGTTCTGGAAGAGGCAAAGAAAGCTGTGAATGCCATCTCCTGTCACCCCCAGCAGACACTGGTTGCTGTGGGGAGTCACTGTGGGCTGCTGAAGGTGTGGGACTACCAGCAGACCAAGTACCTGGCTAGCAGGATATTCACTAAGGCCAGCATCCAGTGCTTGTCCTATGACCCTGAAGGTATCCAGGCCTCATCACCTCCCTGTGTGCCAAGCATTGGGATTCCCAGGAGGGGTGATTCTGTTATGAGCATTTTCTGCCATGCTTTTCAGGTTATTTCCTGGCTGCTGGTTTCACTGATGGAAGCGTTCGCGTCCTCGATGCTATTTCCCTTCAGTCCAGCTGCGAGGAGTTCAAGTTCTCACATGGTCCTGTAACCCATATTGGCTTCTCTCATGATTCAGAATACTTTGCAACTGCTGTAAGTTTCTCTTTCCCTCTCAGTGGTTTATGTGTGCCACCCGTGGCACAGCTTTTGGTGGGACTGGGAACTGCTGGCCATCCTCTGTAGGATTCTATGATCCTGGAAAGCTGTCCCTTCCTGGGGGTTTGTAACATAGAATCACAGACTGGTTTGGGTTGGAAGGGACCATAAAGAGCATCTAGTCCCAACCCCCTGCATGGGCAGGGACACCTCCCACCAGCCCAGGTTGCTCCAGGCCCCATCCAACCTGCCCTTCAACACTGCCAGGGATGGGGCAGCCACAGCTTCCCTGGGCAACCTGGGCCAGGGTCTCACCACTCTTTAGTGACTCTAAAGTCCTTCCTGCACTCTGTAAAATCGTCACCAGTCACAGCCACTCCACAGACCTGCCAGTTTGGATGCTCCAGCCAGGCTGAGGATCATGCTGCCCTTGGGAGCACCTGCCCAAATCTCTCTGACCTGGTGTTTTATCCTGTGCATGGGGATTGTGGCTCATTGAACTTTGCACTATCATTCCAGGATGAGAAATACGCGGTGACTGTTTACAAGAAAGCCCTACAAGATGGGATCAGATGCTGGGAACACCTAGCAGGGATGCACTCCCATTACAAACCCATCCGGAGCATCCTCTTTGGGGTCCAGTTAGACAGCAAGGAGCCCAGGCTCCTGAGCCTTGGGGAGGACCGGCAGCTGGTAGGTTGATGTGAAGGTCTAAGGGCAGTGGAGTTTTGAGGTTGAAGTGGGGGGGATAGATAAGGGCATTGAGGGAGACTCAGTCTTTTGTTCTGCAGCTCCTAACCTTCTCCCCACTGGAGAGTTCTTTCTCAGCTTGTTCTGATGTGCCTGAGACTCTGCTGCTGCTGGCTGCTCACCCCAGCTGCTGCCAGGAATCCTAGATCCAGTTAATCTGCAAGGTCTACAGAAGAGTTGCTGTGTTTGCTTGTCTTCCCTCCAGGTTGAGTATGACCTGAATAGCAGCAGCAAGGACAACCTGGTGGTCTTGCACAGGGACCGTTTGGAGCAGGTTGCTGTGCCCTTGTGCATGGCCTGGTACCCACAGCTCAGCACGGAGTCCTTTTTCCTCACTGCCAACAACTGCTACAAAATTAAGCTCTACAACACGACGACCAAAATATGCAGGTAGAGGAGAGATTCCTGCCTACCATTCCCTGGGAGCCCCATCCTGACTATGTTCTCCTCTGTCTACTTTCTTGCCCTACTCCCACCCACGAGCATGTGTTTGCCCCTCTGTGATTCAGATCTTGGAAGGACTCTAGGGCCACCAGGTTGCTCCATCCTCATGTCCATTCTGCTGTTCACTACGGTGTACCTGAGAAGGTTGTGCCTGCAGGTGGGTCTCAATCTGCTCAGCATGTGGACTTGAGACACAGCAGCTGGACATCAGATAAAGGGACAGGAGCCCATAGGAGCAAAGCAGAAGGACTGTCAATGATCCCTGAGTGCTACGTTCCTCTCTTAGTCCCAGTGTGAGCCCTTCTAGCTAGGGACTCTGTCCTATCCTATCATCTCAGCCAGTAGCACAAAGTCTTTGCACCCACCACACCTCCCTGTATCTACCAAGCGGCCGTTCAGAGAGGGAGAATATTTTGTGAGCCCTAGAATGGATGAAAATGTTGTTTGCCTTTAGAAAGACCCATTTGGGACCAACCTATGGCTCCCCATTGGAGAAGGTAGAAATCCTCCCAACAACAACAAACACTGTGGACCCCCAGAGATGCCATCTGGCATACATCACAAAGGACAAGGTATGGAGCTCCACTTAGACACCCACTTGCAGGTGGTCCCTGGGAGAATTCCAGTGCAGATGGAACCATGTGTGGGCTGGTCCGGCCCTAGAGCTGAGCTCCTGGGGGGAGGATGTAACCTTCCCATGGGACCCCCAGCCCTCCCAGGCTCCCTCTTTCCTTCCAGGTGGGCTTGCAGATTTTGCCTGTTGATGGGAACCCCCACAAGTCCTCAGCCTTCATTTGCCACCCGGACGGTGTCTCTGGCCTCGCTTGCGCCTACGATGGTCGCTACGTCTTTACAGCAGGGGGGGATGACTGCACTGTTATGAAATGGGAGGTCAACCTAAAGTGAGTACCACAGGAGGGAGAGAGGAGTCTTGTTACAGCTTTCCACAGCTGCTTGGCCAACACAGCTGAAGCAAATCTTCCCCAGCATTTACACTAAGAATGGGGCTTTTGTCCTAAAAGGTCTCTGTGTCCAGAGGAGGTAAATCCAGGTCTCCCAGCTATTTCTGTGCTTATCCTGGTGTGTAGGGCAGTGCTGCACTGATGGGGCAACTTGGCAGGGCTCTCTGGCATGGGTCTTTTTGGTGCAGGTGACAAAGCCCTGCAGCTTTTCTCTCCTTCCACAACCAAGTGCCCATGACTAGGCAAACCAACTGCACAGCAAGGGATGTCACAGGCTGGAGAATGGGTCCCAGTGCTTGCGTGAGCAGGAGACCCACTACTCCCTGACAGGAGCATGAGCTGAGAATGGCAATATCTCTGTTCATCCCTGGGGGCTGCCAGCTCCTGGACACCAGGCCTGCAGCTGGGTTCATTAACTGTGGAGCCTCATGCCCTCTGCTCACACCAGCTCTCCAAAAGCTCTGTCTCAGCTCCTGCAGACAGCTCAGCAGAGTGGGCACGTGCCATGCTGGGGATGGGGGCATGGCAGTGGGATCAGGCTAGACTGCAATGACCTGTCAGGACCCAAGTAGCTGTGTGGGGTGGCAGCTGAACCAGGAGGAACACACATCTTGGGGGGCTTTGCTCCTCTCTGTGTGATGTAGCTACATAGTCCATAGCAGGGGTTAAACCAGCAGAATTCACAGGCAGTGGCCATAGTGCCTATAAAAATATTCCAGTTTGGGAAGTGGTGCCCAAATGATAAGAAGATGAGCAGAGGATTTTCTGGTGCTTGTGAGGGCCTAGCTGGTGTGATGGGGGATTGTTTGGGTTAGTCCAGGGATCAGAGGAGCAGCTCTGGCTGCAAGAGGAGCATCTGGGTCGGATACTGATACAAATGTGTCTGCTCTCCAAAAGGGATAGGCCAGCATTTGCTAGGAAATCCCCTCTGCATTTGAAGGCTGGATTTAGGACAAGCCACCTTAATCCTGTAAAGCTTTGCTTACATGAGTAAATGGACTGCAGTGAAGGGGGTGGCTGGAGGAGTGAAGGCTGCTTCTGCAAATGAGGACTCCCAGGCTCTCACCAGGAGGGTCAGTGATAAATACTGCCAGGTTTCTTCCACCACTCTCTGGAAGTGTGTGAATTCCCTCTGCCAGGTCCCCTGGGCAGCACTGCTAGACATGTGCTCCCATGGGGCAGGAAGATACCTTGGCAAAAGCTGGATAGATATTTTGGTTTCTTTGCATGCCGAGGACCACAGCAGAGGGCTCTGCCCTGGCAAGCATGGCTGCAGGCACACGGGTACCTTGGAAGGGGCAGGCAGTTTTAGAATGAGCTGAAAACTGCTAGGCCAGTGTGGAGCAACCACACACTTGAAGGACTGGAAATGGAGCTTAGTCCATGTTGGATCTAGAAAAGATGGATAGTGAGGCATGGTCTCTATCAGTCTGTGGCTGGATTTCTTTTCCTTGCATGTCACCCTACCAGCACAGAACATATCTCCTGGTTTCTGGCAAATCAGCCCCACAGGATCTGGCTTTTAACCCTCACTCCTGTTTTTGCCTTTTTGAGTGCCCTGAACCTGTGAGACACCATTGCCCCCCACCTGCCTAGGACCAAGGCTTTGTGGTTGAGACACGTACTGGTTCTGCCTAAAACATTTCTTGAAGGTACTGCTTGTTCTGAGGAAAGCCCAAAGGGAGCTGAGCCAGATCACCTTCAAGTGCCAGAGCAAAGGAAACCTGGATGGGAAAGCAATAGGCTTATTTATTTTCTTTTCCACTTTGTGTGGCTTAAGCAGTCGGGGGTCAGAATAAGCGACATTTTAAGGAAGGCAATAGAATATAAATGATCCTTCTTTATAATGGTTGGCCAGGGTCCAGGCAACACAGCAATTCAATGTAATTTGTTTTCAGAGCAAAGCCCTTGATGAGCTAATTATCATTTTATTGCTGCTTCTGGCATCTTGTGCATCTCCAACGTGTTTAATACCCAAATAACTTAATTATGAAAAAAAAAAAAAGTGTGGAGCTTGCAAAAAGCCCAGTGGAAGCAGCACTGCAGAGGTGTGTGTGAAACTGCAGCCTTGCTGCCAGGCCTGGGTGTTGGGTGGCAATGCCAGGCCGTGGCTGTGCTACCAGGCTTGGCTTCCTTTTTCATCTGCACGAGCCAAATGGTTTCTTTTGGCTCCAGCTGCCTATGAAATTGAAACAAAGAGATGGCACTGGGACATTTTCAGTGTAACGTGGGCTGCACCTGTGGCACAGTCACCCCTTGCAGCAGAGGAAGTAGCGTAATGGATTGCTCTGAGTTATTGGGGAAGAATGTGGTAGGTCAAGGCACAGGGAGCTTAGGTTTGTGTGGTTTGCTGCAAACACCAAGCCCCAGCCCTCTCTGCATGTTCAAAATGCTGATCTAGCTAATTCATCTCCCTCAATGTCTCTATAAGGAAGCAGAAAAGCTAAATGCCAGATACCAAGCTCAAGTCCATGGAAAAGCTCCTGGCTCCAAGCCCTGTGCTCATTCCACTAAACAAGAGGACCATTCAGTAATAATTAATTCCCACACTGTGCTATTGTATGTAAAACCTGGGTATGAAATATGCTGTAGAAGTGCAGGCTGATGAGAAAATAATACATTTCAAGGCAATGCTTTTCTTTCCTGAATTCTGAGGCCCAGGGATTTTATTTATTTATTGAAAGTGTCTGTGAAGAATGGCTAGAAAGGGAAACGTGACATCTCTCCTCACATGAACCCTTCTTCTCCCTTCTTTTCTCCTCTCCTGCCAGTGCCTTGGATGCTGCTGCTTCCCTGGGTGGAAAGGATTTGATCCCATTCTACAACTTACTGGATGGTGGCAGAGAAGGCAAATTGTTCAGGGTAATTATGCTCACTGTGAACACTGTCTGGGAACATCTGGTTGGAGCTTGAGATTCATTTATACAGGCCTGACATTGCTTTAATTTTTTTTGTTCAGCTTGCCTTTAACAACAATTTCATTGATAGGCCTGTTAGTCAAGCTAAAAAGAAGTCTTATCTTTCGTGCCTGTTGGTAACTGAACTTTTCAGTATCTTGTTTGGATCCCTTGCAGGAACTGGAAGACTATTTTTACTATGCACAGCTGCACAGCCATGGCATTGACACACTGGAGCCCAGACAGGTGTCAACACACATTCCCGTGGAGGAAATTCCTTCTGTAATGAGAGCAATAGGATTTTATCCATCAGAGGAAGAGGTCAGTCAGTTGTTTTTATTGTAGTTATTAAAAAAAAAATTAAAATAGAGTAAGACTGCTTGAATTTACCAAATGTCCTGAGGGCCAGATTCTGAGCACTGCTGTGCTGGGTGCTATTTGTTGGCTTTCGGTGGGTCTAAACTGGTCTGCATCAATGTAGTAGTGGTCAGAATTTGGCAGCAAATTCCTCCAAAAGTAATGATTCCTCACTAGAGAGCTGGGCAACCACAGGGGTGGGCTGAGCAAACCTGGAGCCTGAAGGTTCAGAAGTGTTCAACAAAAGAGGACCTCAGAGCCTTCTGGAGGTTGAGGGCTCTGACACTGCTCTGTAGACGTGAGTTTCTTCAGAGGATGAACTGAGAAAGTTGAGGAATCGATCTTCCCTCAGTTCCCAAGGGCAGCAGCCTCCACCTTCCCACAGTTCATGTGCTGAAGTGCCTGGTGTGCAGGCAGTGATGTGCTTTGGTCTCTCTCTGACGGGTGGTCAAGCTGCTTTACATGCAGCACGTGGTTGATGGGTCATGAGCTGAGTCCCTTCAGGTCAGATGGAGACCCAACCAGAGCATCCTAGATGTGTCACCAGCACGGGTGGGAATGTCCAGCTCTATGCAATCACTCACTGGGACATTGACAGAGCCTTTTTTTCTTGTTCTGCCTGGGACTGATGAAAGAATGATTTTTGATGGAGACAGCAGCTTTTATTCCCACAGAACTTTAGGCTCTTTCATAACTGATAAACTCTGCAGAAGCTCTCTCTGAGCTTGCTTTTCAGGTTGCAGCAGTGGAGTTTCGTACCAAATATTTCTCAAGAGCTTTTAAGCATCAAATTTAACAGCAGACAAAGACAACTGATTTAAATAAGGGTGCTGCCTCTTCCCCTTTTGTGGCTCTTTCTACAGGGCAGTGTGTATCGTATACAAACCTCATTTGTAAGGTTGTAATCTGGCAAAAGAGTAATTAAAGCGCATTAGAAAAAATAACTGGATCTCGTACAAGGAGGCTTAAATAACCACCTCTTTGCACCACCCTCCGGAGCAGGAGGGGCTCTCCCAAGGGACACAGTACGTCGCTGTTCTGCGGGGGAGGCTGCGTTCAGCTCTGCCGTTGCACAGGAACCGCACAGGCTGCTGAGCTGGTGCTGTGAGTCAGTGCTGCCCCATCTGCCCCGGCGTATTCTCTGCCAGGAGAACCAGCAGATGGGAGGCAGGACCTTTGCCACAGCCACCACCTAACAGACTTGCTCTGGAGCCGCTGCAAGCAGCAAATGTTGGTCTGAGCCAAGGCTGCTTTGCCCTTTGGTCAAGCTGTGGCGTTATCCCCTCATACTTTGTGAGGTCTTTCCCTTAGCTGATCGCATGTTTGCTTCTTGGGGACGGAGGGAACATATTCCCTAGGAAAAGTCTCTGAAAGGATAACTGTTAACCCCCTCCCTCCCCACATAAAATTTAAATCAGCATTCTGGGGATGGAAGCAGAGGTGTTAAGCTGTTGTGAAACCAGGCAACCTACAATCTGCTTTCAGAGCAGGCAGGACAGTATTAAAATCCAGAGGGAAATTTCATCTCTCTCTAGAGTGTTTTAGTGAAGGCAAAGCAGGAGAGAGAACAGGCAGCTTGGGCTGACTAGCAAAGCTTTGGGGAATTGATATTTTTCTTTTATAGTTCAGTGGGGCTGATATAAAACCTAATCACAGATCAGCCAGAGCTGAGTGAAAATGACTGCTCCTGCCTGGCGTGTCATTCGCCACAGGAAAAATATGAAGCTGAGATTTCCCTCTTCCCTGGGCTTCATTCAGTGGAAAAACTTGTGACACAAGGACAAAGGCCCAAGGCTGAATGCAAAGTCCTCCCCAGGGAGATCTTGCATCAGCTTCCCTTCCCGGGGAGCAGCAGGCTTGGTAGGTGTTGGCACGGGGAATTCTCCTGGCATTTCTCTGCTGCCCATGTATCTCCAAAGGAGGCTGCCCCTTGGAGCGCGGGTACAACCAAGGGAAGGAGCAGGTCCTGCCCTTTGGACATGCTCTGCACAGCTGCAAGCTGGGCTGACTCACAGCACCAGACTTCAGGAAAACCACTAGTGTCCAGCAGAGACAGCTCTTGCCTGTTTGCCCGAGGGAAGAGC